TCAACCGAGACATATGTCTCGCAGCCGCAGCGAGACGACGAATTCGCAGAGAAGCGAAGCTGGAGTGGGACAGAACGTGGGCCAAGGAAGCGACCAGTCGTCCGACGAAACGCTTGATTGAAGCACCAACAAAGAAGACGCTGGAATACTGGACGGGCTTGCGCAAAGCGACGACATCGATTCTGATGCAGCTTAGAACTGGGCGAATTGGCCTAGGGGCTTACCTGAATCGTATCAACCGACGCGAAACAGCGCGGTGTGATTGCGATCTTGGCAGCCAAACAGTAACACACGTCCTACTGGAATGCCCCTTGCACCAGGACGAGCGAGACTGGATGAGAAGCGCTCTCTCATACCAGGGAGTCGCTCTCCACCGGGACGAACTCCTCACACGACCGGAGGCCCGCACAGTTGTGGCCGAATTCATGGTCAAGACCGGCCTCCTAGGCCAATTTCAGACAGTCGACCCTACGGCTCTGGGCGAGGAAGGGGACCACAAAGGAGCGGAGACAATGATCCCTTAGACAGTGTGACGGAAGAAGAAGGATGGCGCCCATTAGGAGTGCAGTGCCAGGTCCACTGTACTCCCTTGATCCAAGCGAGCGCGCAAGCGGCAGCCGACAAGACTGGACAGTTGGAGAGAAGAGGGCGTGGGAATGGTGTGTTGAAGCGGGGCCCTGGTCCTACCCGCGACCAGGGGTGAATGACGTTCATTTTGGCTTTGTGTTTATCATGTTTGCATCCGTGCATTTCTTTTGTTTAGTCTACGTCTTTCGATTCGAGGGCGATTGATCAGAAATTCGCAAGGCGAGTTCCCTGACGGTCGCCCAGTGGGCTGGCGACCACCTTCCAGCTGTCGGCAGGCCTGACAGCACTCCCGCATAGCAGCATATATATAGAGCGAGCTACATCGGGCAAATGAATACATCATCATCATATCGGTTATAGAATTCGTGTTAAACATCAAGGCAGACACAGTACGAGCTGGAGAATTGTGATGTGAAATGTGGTTAGCGTATCTCTTACTCTCGCTGAGAGTGCCACTAGACCAAAATAGGCAATACGGTGTGTGTTATCCCCCTCAGTCATTGCTATCTCCTCCCATGATTCTGCCGCACCAAAATTTCCACGTGATCTTCAAATACAATCAATACTTAATGTACCATCAAGTGACGGGAGACACCTGAATCCGACGGAGGTCCGGAATTTGAAGATGATGTCACAAATTTATGGAATTACTCCTTTATATCTGTTAGCGAGAATGGCGCTTCCTTTGCTATTCGAGTACATTTAGGTGGCGTCCCCTTTAATATGTAAGAATGGGTCTTTTTCGCAGGAATCGGCAATGAAGATTGAGGGCATGAATATTAAAATATGAGGTATCTAATACGGCGGATATAACCCGTGGCGTATCTACGCAAGCTTCAAGTGTGGTAATGAAGACCTTTTTTTGATGTGAGTGATATGTCCTCCGCATTTTTGATATATTCCTGCGGGGATCCTTGATTCTGCCCTTACACTTTTGCCATCAACCTGCTCAAAACTGCGGATACTGTCAGAGACCAACAGGACCAAGCAAGGCTTGCCCCTATAAATACCTCGTAACCGTCGGCCCTCCTGGCATTTTCTAACTAATGATCATTGCAGGTTGTGCGAGCGAACGAAGTTCAGTTTGCCTCATGCACAGATCCTATTCCTTACAAGGGACTTAACTACCCAGATAGGTGAGATACGTTTTTTACTTTTCCATGAGGTCCCTTGGAATGACTGCATGACGTCTAACCCCCAAAGCCTAGAGCATCCAGAAGCGTGTTTCGCAAACAGACGAACAACCAGAGATGTAAGCCTATTCTCTCCTCATCACAAGGACATTCGCTGACACTAGCTTCGTGTTCACTATACTCATAGCGACATCACGAGACATATTTTATGCAGGGCACGTTTTTGACTGGGTAACGGAAAGCGGGGCCTTCTGACTGTCGCAATTGAGATAATGATCCTCTACACGGTGACTGTACTTAATGCATTGCTCCAAGAAGAACTCAACAAATTCACTGACGAGGCCAGTCTAGGCACCACAATTGAATCGACACACAGAGTACAGTCTGCAACGAGGGACTTAAAAGTCTGCGCGAAAGGTCAAAGCGTGTTAGTGCCTGAGGCAGCAAAAGCTCGACCCACAGGGTGAGTAAGCTGGCAAACATCCAGGTGCGCATTCCCTTGTAACAGTTCGTTCCACGTGTCAGACGGCGGCCGCTTTGCTCCGTTGACTTCGATTCCGGGTCATTCGATTATCTGCTGAAACTGCTTTCGACAAGGGATGGAAGACACAATCGCCGAGTTACGACGTCAACTTGAAGAAGAGAGGCAGGCGCGAGAAGAAGACAGAAAAGCGCGAGAAGACGCAGAGCGCCGAGAAGAGGAAGAGAGACAGGCGCGAGAAGAAGAGAGAAAAGCGCGAGAAGACGCAGAGCGCCGAGAAGAGGAAGAGAGACAGGCGCGAGAAGAAGAGAGAAAAGCGCGAGAAGAGGCAGAAGAGCAACTGCAACCCAACACACTTCTACGTCTCCTCGATCGCTGCCACCATTCTCTGTCTCAAGCGATCAAAGTTGAGACGGATGCGACCCTCACAACCCAGGGCGACGCGACCGACCCAGTAAACCGACTCTACCCCAAGCACATCATCCCTTGGCTTGACTTTCCGCAACTACAGGAACAAGTCTGGGAGAAATTCGACCGCACCGCTGCGTTTACCTCGCGCCCGCTATTCCCTTCTGATACCCAAATCGACTATGTTGTTACGAATATCCAGAACGGATCGATCTATTCGGAAGCGTCACTTCGGAATTTTGAGCGAGACACGGTGGATAACTTTGTCGAAAAGGTCATTAAGGCTTTGCGAGACGATGAACCCCTTCGACATGAGTTTGGAATCCAAGGCCGAGTCACCTTCTACGATCGCGCAAACCCATCGGAAACCTCGCTGGAGAACAGCCTGGAGCAAATGAACCTTCAGGACGCGCGGACACCCCAACGACCGGCGAACACTAGGCATGGTAGAGGCAGAGGAGGGGGAAGAGGAGCGGTGCAGAGACAGAAGAGGGATGGCACTGCACGAAGACGCAATCGGCGAGCCGACCAGTTCTGCGTGCACCTTGTGGCTGATGAACGACAAATACCAGTGTATGCAGTGGAGTTCAAAGCGCCGCACAAAGTGACAATCCCCGAATTAGTGGCGGGTCTACACCAGATGGATCTGGATCGCGATGTCATCGACCAAGAAGGTGACACATTTGAATTTTATGCCACCCGTCTTGTCGCCGCCGTGGTCACTCAAATATTCTCATACATGATCGACAGTGGAGTTCGATACGGCTACATCTGCACAGGGGAGGCCTTTGTTTTCCTGCATATCCCGGAAGATGACCCCACGATTGTTCAATATTTCTTGTGTATCCCGAATCAAGACGTGCAGCCGGACGATGAATTGCGCCTCCACCGGACCGCCATCGGGCAGGTGCTTGCGTTCACCCTTCAAGCGCTGGCCGCAGAAACTCCCCCTCAAGAGTGGCACGACATGGCACACGACAAGCTAACGACCTGGGAGGTTGAATACCTCGACGTGTTGAAGGAAATTCCCGAAACTCTCCGTAAAGACCCGAGGTCCTCTAATTATCGGCCCTCGCATTGGAAACGAGATCGGAAAGTACACAACACACGCTCTCGCGCTCGCTGTCAGCCGGATTCATCTACACCAAAGCACTCGTCGCCCGAAGGCAGTGGCAGCGATCAAGAATCGCAATCGCCATCCGCCGCAGCAGCGTCGCGTAGCCGATTGAGCCGCAGCCGAGGTAACAACCGTCAATCAACTAAGGGAAGTGAAAGGACACGAGCCGGCCGGGACAAAAAACAGACTTCTCGAAAAGACGGGCATTCTACTCGACCATACTGCACCATTGCCTGCATCCGTGGCATGGTCAACCGTGAACCTCTGGATAAAAAATGCCCCAACTGGAAACTCCACGGTGGTCAGAGACATTCTATGGGACCGCAAGAGTTCACACGCCAGCTTCACCGTCAACTTGTCCGAAATCGAGACCTAGGCTTCGAACAATTGCACATCTGTGGTCGGACAGGCTACCTCATGAAAGCTACCCTTCTATCACACGGATACACTGTGATCATTAAAGCTACCACAGCGGAGAAGGAGCATCGCCTTCAAACGGAGGTGGACAATTATCGTTACCTCAGGAGCTTGCAAGGGCATCAGATTCCCGTCTATCTTGGAGTCTTTCAGCCACGGATCGCATATTGGTACCATGGTGAATTAATGGCGCAGATGATGATCCTGAGCTGGTCTGGAACGCGGCTTCAGCATTTTATCAACGATGAGAATTCTAGCTTCTTTTACCAAGAGCGCGACAAATCTCTGGCCGTGCTCCGATCGCACGGAGTTGTCCACAGCGACGGTGAGTGGCGCAATATGCTATGGGATGATCTGGGTGGCCGTTTGATTGTCATTGACTTGGAGGACATGAGACGGTTGAAGCGTCCTCGAACTCTAGAACCAATATCTGGAAACACGCGGCGTGCTCATCACGTTGGGACGGAGGAAAAGCAGGCAAAGCCTCCTGTCCAACTCAACTGTCTGCACATGACGGTCCACGGATCCATGGGTCGACTGCGTTAGGTGACTCGGTTGGTATCTGCCCCGTCAGATCATGGAGTCGAAGGGAAAATTTTTCTTCCATTTTGGCGCTACCACTGAATGGGCCGCTGTGGGATTAGCGCCTGAAACCCTTTGCGCATCGTGTCTACTTGGGATCGGCCAGGGAGGACAATATCTACTATAATTTAACAATCGCCAAGATACTCTTAAAGCTGGGCATGAAAAACTTCTTAGAGTTATATTCCATTATGTGAGTTGAAGACCCCTTGAAACTATCGTCGTGTACTGAACTATAATGCGTGGAAAGATCACAAAGACCAATTCGTATGCCCTAGAGAAACATGTTCTCAACGCATTGTGCTCGACGAAACTCTTCCGAAAGTCTTTCATTCGATTCCGCGGCAATTTCCAGACATCTGTAGGTCACCGGCTCTTCCTCGACCGTGGCGAGTGCGTGTGCAATGGAAATAAGATTCTTGATCTAATAACGGTCAGCCGGTGAACAATAACTAACGTCCTGGAGACTCACATCTCTTCCATTTAGAGAAAACTTGTCTAACTGCTGCAGCTCATCTTGTCCAACAACAGGAGGACCCTGGGCCGTATGTGCTTTGGATAATAGATTCGTCCAGATCTCCCGACGAAACTTCGCTGTCAAGCCATCGTATTTAATGGTCAAGTGAATCCCGCTCAAGATCGCCTCGTCGAAATCTATCATCCGATTCGTGGTCAAGAAGAGGACGCCCTGGTAATACTCCAGTTTTCGGCGAAAAACGGTCACAAGACGATTATGAGTATCATGGTAAGATTTGCGCTGCTCCATGAACGCATCTGCCTCGTCCAAGAGAAGAACGGCGTCGAAGTGCTTGGCAATCTTGAATATGCTTTCGATTCTTTGCTCGAGCACACTAGAATCGGCGGAGGCGACGACAAGGTCTCCGGCCGATATCTAGGCATGTTAGCAAGCCCACAACCGAGACAACGGGTAATGCTTACAGAATACAGAGGACGGTTGAAGCGCTCCGAAGTTGCCTCAACAGTGAATGTCTTTCCGACGCCTGGTGGACCACTAGAACAATTCAGATACCAAGTGAGTAATGGAGGGTTTATCAACGTACTGCAAAAGAATGTTGAGCCCACGGCCCTTTCCGTTAATTACATCGTCAAATGGCACAGTGGGTGCTAGCCCCAAGCGAGTTTTTGCCAGTGACGAGAGGAGAGTCTTTTTCTCCGACGGTATCTTCAGACAGTCAAAGGTTTCCGGGGTCCATGTCACCTCGCGAAGAGCACCAACCGCACACTCCACTATCCCATATTAGACATCATATCATCCAGTCCTGATCACGTAATACTCACAGAACTGCTTATCCTGAAAGCTGAAGCAACAAACTGTAGGACAGCTGATCAAAAAGTCGTCCTCTCCCATTTGTTGTACATCTACGCTGCCTTCCTGCATTCCTTCCTTCTCCCTTTCCCGGTCCCTTTTGAACAGTGCGCCTATATCGATAACTGCGATGCCATCATTCTTCTTTGGCCAGTTGTCTTGGAGTCGGGGCCGGGAATAATTGGGCAACATTTGACGGAAAAATGCTGCATCAACTCCCACTTGACCATTGATTTTCACTTCGACAGCAGCGCCGTTTTTCATAAAGAACGCGCTGCCGTCACAGTGTTGGATGTGTCTCCCAGCCATGCCACAGAATTTCCGACCTCTTTTTACCAGGTCTTTGCGGACTCCATCGTAATCTGGATGATGGTGGAGAGGGAAGGCTTGGAGAGCTTCGATTGGCCGTGATCCCCGGAATTTCGTGACCCCGAGAAAGATGCCGGCTTCGCCAAATTTCTGTCCATCATAGTCGAGGTATCGACATTCGAGTCTATAATACGTGACGTCGTCTTCGGTGGTCTCTTCGCCCGCATCGAATATAACACATCGCGGTTCTCCTGTTCCGAAGCACCTTCCGTACACGTGGGAACCAGGCTTGAAAAGTGCCCAAAGAAGGTCGTATGTGATGTGGCCATGCAGTAGCATTGAATCAAGACGTTGCGAGGTCGCCGCATACGTGTGCTTGAGATGGTCGATGAGCAAGTGGAGATTCTTCACATGTGCAGATCCACGGTCCGGATTGTTGTTCAAGCTCTCCGCATATTTTTCCAGCTCTGAGAGGAAATGAAATAGCACATTTTGCTCGATCTAAACTCAAGTCAGCATTCTCCCTAAAGGTAATATCTGTTTCAATTACCGATGGCTTATCTTCCATCATGCTAACAGCCTTGATTTCGTGCAGCACCTCACGCAGAATGTCGCGCAAGCCTTCCGATTTGATATCTACGTATGATATCACCTCCTCGGACTTCCGGTCTAATCCTATCATTAGTAGACTTTCGGCTCTGTATGCAAAGGTATCGCCTACCAATACGTTCGCGGACAACGAACACATACTCGGCATAGTTGTCCTGATCAGTGCTGGTCTCCGTCGGCTCAGCAATCTTGTATTTGCATGCCTCTTTGTCCCAACTGCACCCCTGTCAGCCAGTTTTTAAAAGAAATGGAAAGCGGAGTTGGTGGCTCATACGTTTCCACGACCGTCTTGAATTCGGGTGTCGAGGCCCATTTTTCGAACGACTTGGAGTCATCAGGGGTAGTACAGATCGGACTGTTGAGATCAATTTCATCTGCTACCTGAACGCCCTCCTGTTCATTGCTTGCTGGACAAGACTGGGCGGGCTTAGTTGCCACAGACAGTTTAGCTGAAGCACATTCATCGCCGGTGAGCTTCACCAGCAACTGATTCAGTCGAACCATGTCGAGATCGGGTCGGGACTTGCCCTGGGAGACAGGAGTGTTTGGAGGTTCTCCGCTGGAAAGATCGAGCAGCGCCTTCTCAAGGAATACTCCAAAGAGACTCTGCAGATCCTTCACGATAGCTTGAACCGTAGCTGTCCCCTTCGTTGGGCTGTCTGGGGGCGTCAGGCCTTGGTGAGACGGAGAAATCCTCTTCAATGCCATACCCTCGGAGGAAGGCATATCTGGGCTACTGTGTGCCATGTTGTCTGATCCAGAACTTGTTGGTATGATAGAGAAGAGAGTTTGAATCAGCAAGATCAAAAGCTGATGTGAATGCCAACAGAAAATTCCAACGACCCGGGGAATTTCTCCCATTTATATCTTCGTTATCGACCCTTTGCCCCTTTTAACAAAAGTACGCTTCAGATGCGAAAACTTGGATGCACGATCTGAGAAGGATCTAAAGCTTTCTTGTCGGACGCCTCTCCCCCCATACTGTCTCATCCAGGGGGCCATCAACGAGCTCCAAAAGATCGTATGTGACCGTCATTGTCGTTTAGCGCTGCTGGACGCCACGCCATTTGGCCCCATTTTACCCCGCGGTGTCGACAAATCAGAGATCGTGCAGCCTCTCACAGCGGCGATACTTTTGCGAACCTGCATAAGTTGATAATCCGCACAACTTTTTCCTCGTGACTACCCCTCCTCAAGTCAAGTTCCTTCCTCTACTTATTGAGAACACCGCTATCTTCCCTCCTTCCTTCCTTTCTCTCTTTATTTTCTTCGGTCTTCCATGTGACCAGTTACTTTCCACTTCGAATTACCGAATCATGTCTGCAGCTGCTGTCGTCTCCCAGCTACGAGGACTTTTGGAAAAAGCCAACTTGTTGATACCCAAAGTATCGAAAATTTACCCTAATGAGGAGCAATGGGAAGCTCTTGGCGACATAAGCAAGAGTCTTACAACAACTGCGACCAGAATGGAAAACAAGATTCGAGAGTCAAAAGAATCGCGTGCAGAAAGAGCATGGAAAGAAAGTGAAAAGCTTCGGTCTCATGCTTTGGCATGTAAAGGGGAGCTATTGACTAACGGCCGGTTGAAGCAACCACCAGTGTTCAGGCGAAATATTATCACTATATTCGAAGGCCCGAAAGACTCCAAATTCGACTCCGAGGACGTCAAAGTCCGAAAAGCCTTGACCCGACAAAGATGTGAGCAGATTCGACAACTCAGTCCCAGCGGTGTGATTTCATGGGCAATGGCCTACGCGCCAAGTCTTTGGGCGGCAGGCTCGATGTCAATGGAGATCTTTACCTGTCTTCTTGACGACATCGAACCTAACCAACGTCCGCCATGGCCATCGATCGTTGGGGAAACTTTACACATGCTCTTAGACGATGAAGAGTTTTTGTCGGCATCGTTAGAATACCGTGAATTTCTGAAAGGTCCTTCAACCACAATAGTTACCTTTTATGGAGCAGATATTGATTCCTTCTGCAGCATATGACTGTTTACCAGAAGTCTGCCTGGACCGTCGAAGAAAACGGAAACGATTGGACAATGGGCACAATGGATGCGGAGCTCAGACGAGCCAAATTTCCCCTTTTGATGGAAAACGAGGTACGATGGCTTTATAAGCATTTGTCGCATAGCTAATAATATAATATAGAAATGAAGCATATGTACACAAATCCCGACTATGTCTGCATAGACAGACTGCCAGAGCCATTTCAGACCGCTGTCAGAGGAAGCCGGCTCTGGAAGTGGGAAAGGAGCCAGGGTATGAAGACAACAGGTTGTCTAAGCACACTGTTTCCATTGGATAACACACAGGATGTCTCTTTGACCATCTGGTGCGGAAATGCGGAATCGTACAACATCATCGATGAATTTGAGTTAGAGCTTGCACACTCATCTCAGCATTTGAAATAAACGGTTCCACCTCTGATGAAGGTTGTGTAGCCTCCGGGCACCAGATACTCGCAGAATTCAGTCGTCGGTGTCTCGTTGTTAATATGTGCTTTGTAGTCATCCGTCTGCTGGTTGTAGATGGAAAGGTAGTAGCCCTTGAAAAAAATATATCTGTCATGGTCGACCGGCGGGAACAGATGACCTGAAACGGCTTCTTCTCGACCAGCGAGTGCGTCGTCTCCTCTCTAAATACGAAGCGGTGTGTTAGTTATCGGCAATGTGAACTTAAGAGAAGGAATTCTGACCGCCATGACTTGAAATGAATGCGCCCTTTTTTGACTGAAAGCTGACTGTCGTTTGACTGTCGACAGTGAAAAACTTGAGAAGCAAAATTTGTTGGCTGCGACGACTTAAGAAAGTCCCCGGCGGCACCTTAGAGAATCGTTGATAAGTTCGGAAGTATAGAATAAGCGTTCCATAGAAGAAAACGGGTATCTGGTTCGATATTAGAGATAGAGAAGGCACGATGTTGGGTATCAAAGCGAGGGGTAACGAGGAAGTCAGGCGTGGCACCAAATGCGACCGATCCGGCCCCCACCATCCAGTGGGAGCCAACTAATTCAGGCAGAAAATTTTCGTCCTAATGAGAACTCATCTGAGATCCTTAATTGGGTTTCCACCTGTGAAAAGTCCATACAACAACTATGTAGCCTATCTATCACCTTTCAAAAGAAGGGCGGTAAATCATCGACTTTTCGAAGACTGGATGGTCACCCAAACACATTACGTTTGGTTTCCAGATGCCCAACCACATGCGATGCAGCTGTCAGATCTTTCTTGAATCATCGCGTGAAGTTGCATACGAGCACTTCTGGGCAAGTATGCGCGAAACGGAGTGTGGAAGGAAGTAGGGAAGAAAGTGAGTACATACAAAAGAGTGAGGAAAGAGGAGGGGGAAAATTAGACCAACCTCCTGCTCAAATGCTGGCTTGACAAGATCCTCACCACTAGTAGGGAAGAAAGCCGTTGTCGCTAACTCACCAGTTACGTCGACTTCACGACGTGCCTCAAAAAATTGATGGTCTGAAGTTCCTCACAATACTGTGAAGCGCTAATGCTAGTTAAAAGCAAGACATCACACTTGCTGCGGTCTTACATGATCTTTCCCGTGTGCCTCCCTTACTTGACCAGACAAGAGTAGAGAAGTTTGCTGCTCCTTCGATTTATGCAGGTTCGCAGAAATACCTCAAGCTAAGAAGGGGACAGGCCATCAGTGTCGTGTACGATTGGTGGCTCGAGGTGCGTGAGGCTGCAAGGCCCTGCCACATTGGCCCACTGCCTCGCAGTGCGAACAAATCAGGAGCACCAGCCGTACGCCGCTCCATGCCAACCAGCATAGTCGTTGCGTGAGAAAGTTACACAGCCTTGCGCTAATGCATCGTATCCTCTTTAAGGTATGCGCAATGTCCCGTTTCTTAGACCTGGCCTCCGCATTCGCCTTAGCAAGGCTAATCTGTTGTTCCTCTGTCCAGACAGTCTCGGCTTGTTCATTCTTTGGGCGTGCTTTAAGTCGGTGAAGTAGTTGGTTCAGACTTAATTGGATGACATGAGCGAGACAGGGGACCCGGATGACGTTAAAACCAGTAGCCGAAGCCGAAGGCTCTTGTTGTAAAGACTGTTGTAGTGCCTTAACCAGAGTCTCATTATTCGATGCGTTATCGGTGGTTATTCCAAAGACTCGGTCCTTAATGCCATGTTCGGTAAGCGTCTCCATCAGAATAGCACTTAGGTTTGCACCTGTATGCGAACTATGAAGGGGTTTAAAGCCGAGTAGCACCTCACGGTAGACCCATTCGGCATCGATGAAATAGCCAGTAATAGCCATAAATGCCTGCTGAAATGGAGATGTCCAACAGTCTAACGCAATCGAGATCTTTGCATGTTCTGGAAGCATTCTGAGTGTATCATGCTGTCGTTCTTTAACACGGCCAGACAGGCGACGTCGAATTGTATCAGCGGAGGGCACGATCGGAGGGCTTAGGGCGGATTGTGCCTAGATTCAAGACTTAAGATTTAGTTAGGTGACGAGGCAAATAGAGGCTGATTGGTAAAGACGGCGGATTTGGAGGATTTGGGCGATTTGACGCCTACGGACTGGCGTCTGACGGACTTACCTCTGCGATGAGCTCACGAAATGCTGGATTTTCAACGATTTGGAATGGAAGCCGGTTAGTAGTAATAAACTCCAAGATTTTACTCTCAAAACCTTCTTGCGAGAATGTCTGGCTATGACTACCCTGATCATGATGCTAGTTAGTAGGGTCTAGTAGAGCTAGGTATGATAGTATACCGTTTGAAGGAACCTCGTCAATTCAGCCCTCTGCCGGCGTCCACTTGTAGCCTTTTGGCAGGCTGAGGTCTGAAGATGACGGGTAATTGTTGTCGTGCCATGACGACCAACCCTCCCATTGGCATCCTTCTTAGTAGTATAAGGGTGCTCAAGAATTGCATCGCAACGCTTACACAAGACCTTTGGGTTTCCAGTCGCCGTATGGGCCACTTGCTCAAACTGTTTCCAGGTCTCCGAAGCGGAGCCATGCTGTGACTCCCAAGCGATCTTGTTTTTAGATCCATAGTCAGTCTCCAACCACCAGTTGACCCAATCAGTGTGATTCATCGCGTCGTAAAGGAAAAACTGGCCTCCTCTCCTACCAGGACCGACACGTTGGAAGCGTTCAAGGGGATCTAGGGCGATAGACGAAGGAACAGACGGCTCAACGAACGAGAAGCTATCAACCTGCCGAGAGGTGGACGGAGTAGCTGGGCAAAGAGAAGGCGTAGCAATTGACGAATTGTCGGGCTCAGTGTCGAACAGGCCCAACTGGGAGGATCTAAACTCCTGGCTTTGCGACATGATCAGGATGACAACTTGATAGTAGGTTCAAAATTGGATGAAGGGCTTCAGGGGAATAGCTTCAGGAGGAAGAAATCGACATACCTTCTTAGTGAGAGAACTGTCGACGTATCGACGCCGTAGCAAACAGATATTGTAAACAGAGATCACCGTAGCAGTCGACATTAAAACGGAATATCTTGATTCTAGCATCTGATTGGCTAGATCATGCATATGCAGTGAATTCAGCCCATCCAAAGCCCAAGAAAAGTCCATGGATAACCCATCTCCCCGCCCATTTTACAATTTGTTCGCCCAAAACATTTCACCCCATGGCTCATGAGATATCTTCAAACCTCTCTCATCTCTGTAATCCCCAGAATATTACGTTTCTGTGAAGACAGACGTTAAGTCTGAGAGATTGGCTATCTTTTGGTATAAATTTCAACTCTATAAACCTATAATTCATAGATTTGACCCTTGAATCTACAGTTCAACAGAAACATGCACCTACTTCTAATTATATGAGATATATATCTCTACATGTTGACACTTTGGAACTCTCTAAGTACTAGAATACTACGAAAACTTGGTGAAATTGGATTGTTTTTTGGATGACGCCGGTAAACTATAGTGCCTACTGTAGCTGGCTTCATCTACGACCTTAATTACTATGTCGTCGCCGTTGGATCTTGAGATCTTGATTCTTGGGGGAGTTGAACCCCCGGATTGGGAGTTGAAATACTAGATCAGGCCTGGTAAAACGTCGGGCCGATGTATGCCTTGTAAAGGCTTACAGACTGGAACATGCGTAAAAAACAGGCATTAATCAGCGGTTTTATGAGCGCCAAGATCGTAGTTATGCATAGAAATGGGCTATATTGGGGGCCTCATGGGCCCCCACTCATGGGCTATGGGTTGGGGCGGGCTATAGAGGTTAGGCCCACAGCCCACTGCTGGTTGGGCTATGGGCCTAAAGGTCGGGCCCATTTATGGGCTTTGCGGAGGTCTAATCACCTCTTATTTACGTTGCCGGCCTTTATTACCCGCATATTTATTTGTATTCCTAATATTGATGGCCTATTCCAGATCCCGCTTTGAACCTCGTAGGTGAATTTGAAAATAGAAAAACCAAGACTTCTAACCACGCCAGGACCCCCTTGCGTCTCACCTCGGCTAAAAGTAGGTCAGACGAACTGCATCATCAACGTAACTGTACCTCGATGCTGAGAGTCTCGACTTGTTTACATAGCTAAAACAGATACGTATCTATGACAGTCCATGTTTTAGATAGGACATAAGAGGACAAAGAAAGGGATTCGAAGTCAGGAGGAATCACTTTAGCATGTTGCATCTGAATGAAAAGGGAAAATAAGGAAAAGAGAATCAAAAAGGAATTAAAAGAGATGAAATAGTCGGTTTCATGATTCACTGAGTTAATCAGGGGATCGCTCCCCGGTATTTCCTGGCCACGTCTCCTCCAAGATAATCTGCGTCCGGCTCGATTGGCTGCTCACTTCCCAGTCCTGCGTAAAGAGGATCTCGTCGTGGCGAAGCGAACTCATCTTATAGTTATAAGTAGTCGTGTCTCCCGCGCCTTGGATCTTGAATCCGTTAGAGCGCATCCACGAAAGGAACGGGTTGAGTTGTCCCCAGCAGGCGGTCACAATACTCAGGCACTGAATGATCACTTCGAAGATGGTGACCTCGCACAGGGTATAGGTCGGGTTAGTGGTGCCCTTTTTGATGTAGGTGAGCTCGGTGATTGTGGCGACCACCACTCTAAAGAGAGGGCCACCGGTGGTTAGTTTTCTGGGGAACGTCTGCGATAGTTCGAGGACAGGACACTCACAGGAGTCGAGGCAAAAAGATACCCGCGAAGATTAGGCGCCTCTGCAGCGATGTTTGAATGCTCGAGATCAGGACCATCGCCTGCGCGAAGATCAACAGGTCAGTGACAATAATAGAGCCGCAGAGGAAGTAGCGCCATGCCAGCTAGATTGTATCAGAATTCGTTAGGATTATTCATCATTTAACTCAGAAAATCGCTCTTACAATATCCAAGCATCGGCCATTCCAGAAATCCCAGGTGCGCGGCACTTCACATTGGAAAGCAGAGCCAAAGAACACAACCACCGCCGAGACATAGATTATGCCTTTGACCACATGGGCGACGAATTTGTCTCGGGCGGACGGAGTGAGACTCCGGATGAACACCACCAGAGAGAGTTTGGACAGAGTCAGGTTCACGATGTACAGGAGACTCGCCGCATACAGGTACTATGTCCATGGCATTGCCAGTCAGCCTTGGAAAGAGAAATATGGACGATCGACCAACCTTCATCACATCCTCAAATTGATCGTTGGAGACATCTTTGAAAGGTTTCCCATAGCCGGATCCGACAGCAAGGTTGACCA